GCAACACCGAGGGTTGCGATCCCATAGCCGGTCCCAGTCCGGTACGGGGGCAACACTGAGGGTTGCGATCTGTTGCCGGACACGGAAAAAGACAAAAAAAAAAAAAAAAGATGACCAGTAAGGGGATCTTAACCCTTAGCTTGGTGTAGTCAGCACCACACTCACCCAGTGAGCTAACCGGCCATCCCCATATGGGATCCGAACCCATGGCCTTGGTGCCATCAGCACCGCTCTCTCCCGAGTGAGCCACGGGCCGGCCCTTAACCACTTTTCTTAAGGTTGGTTACACAGCTGGAGAGTGTTGGAGCAGGGATTCACAGCCAAACGTCCCTAAATCCAGAGCCTCTGTTTGTCCCTCAGGTTTGTTTGTTTTTAGCTTGTACCGCCACTTTGAATGAAGAATTCTCTCAGTTCCTATGTACTGTGTAACAAGGGACAGGTTTTCGTTGCTATGTGAATACCTGGTTCAGGGTTCAACAGGAAGAAAGCCTGACTTGAATCTAGTAATAGAAATATAAGGCGTTAGGACTACATCATCTTATTTAAACAAGAAGACATCACAGCATTATATCCACCAGTACTTTAGTATGTATGAGTATCTCTAACAGATTAGGAGTCTAAAAATATAACAACACTGTTATCACATCCAACAAAATTTAATAATTTTTAATGTTATCTAACACTGGCCCAGGTCTAGTTTTCATCAACTGTCACAAAAATATCATTTTGGATTGGATTTGTTTGAATCAAACAGGATGAGATATTTTTCATATGTAGTATTCACTAATAAAATCCCCTCAGTACTTGTTGCATTAATGCTTGCTACATTATTCATTAGCAACTTCTTCGGGAGATGCAACAGATGGCCAGCCGTCCCTTTGCCTCCGTAAACGTTGCCTTGGAAACAGATGAAGAGCCTCCTGATCTTATTGGGGGGAGTATAAAGGTGAGAATATGATTCAAAACTCCTTATAACTTTTTAAAACTCAGACTTCTAAGTCTGGAAAACCAGAGGGAGCAAGAATCTTACTTCATTACTGTATTAGTCCGTTTCTGTTGTTTATATAACAAAATACACAGAACTGGGTGATTTATAAAGAAAATGAAATTTATTGCTTACAGTTTCTGAGACTTGGAAATCCACAGTCCAAGGAACACATTTGGTGGTAGTGTCACTGATCCCTCACATGGCAAGATGGTGGAAGCAGAGAGAACAGAGAGAGCAAGATAGACTGACTCTTTTCTTTTAAAGCCCTCAGAACCACGCCCCTGACCACCATTTTTAATCCATTCACTACTGCATGGTCCTACACACCAATCACCTCTTCAAGGCTCCACCTTTAATTACCAAATAGGGTTTCCCAACCCTCTTAACATCCACAGAGGGGGCTGAGTTTCTAATATATAAAACTTTGGGGACACAATTCAAGCTTCCAGTGAGTTTTGGGGGGACATAATCCACTACAATTACCTCTTATTTTTTCTCTTTCTTTTAACAATAAGCCAAAGCACTGAAGTTGTCAGGTATTCTTTCACTTTCATTTTCCCATCTTTATGTCATGTCATTAAGCAGTTTTGTGTTTGGGGATTTTTAAATATAAACGATTTGTCTGATATTCTTGTAAGTATTCTGTGGCATAATACTTTAAAACTTTTATTTGAAAATAGCTAAAGTGAATCATTGTTATTTATAATTATATTTGGGGGATTTTTTTCCTTAAACCCCAATTTGTTGAGTAAATAGGCCAATAGCTATTCTAATTCTGCTGATTCTGCCAATTCTGCTGATTCTGCTAAAGCAGCAGAATCATAGTTTAGTAGGTAATTCTGTAGAAAATAAATATTTCTGGACACCCCCCCAAATGATAAAGAAAGTGATAAGACTTTCTCTTTCAGAAAAATGACAAAATATTTCAGATACTCTAGGGAAACAGTTATGTCCAGAATAGAACCTATTTATTAAAGCATTACTGAGTTCATAGGAAGTAGGTTAATTTTCCAGGGACTACTCTCTTTTCCCTACGCTTTAAGAACAAATCATGAACCAAAACCAGAACCATGAGTGGTCTAAAGTGGTTCCAGATTGTTAACACTCCATGACTCCCAGCTTAAGGAGATGCATTTCTTCTCTGTAGGAAAATATCCCCAATTCAGCCCTGTAGGATTTGCACAGATCAAGATCATGTAATTAAAGATCACCAAGGACAAGAAGAGGCAAGCCACCATGAATAAGAGTCAGCAGGAACAACAGATGATGGATTTAGACAGCACTTCAAGTGTTAGAATTGACATCTGAAGAATAAAATATAACTATGTTTGAAATATTTAAAGAAATACAAGGTGGAATAATAAAGATGAGGAAGCCATAAGAGTCAAGAATGGCCAAGAAGATCTGAAAAAACCAAATGAAACTTCTAGAAATGAAAATTACAGTAGTTGGAAATTTTTAAATAAATAACTGAATTTACGTGGTGTTTTTTTTTTTTTTTTTTGTCTTTTGTCTTTTTCCGTGTCCGACAACAGATTGCAACCTTCAGTGTTGCCCCTGTACCGGACCGGGGACCGGCAACGGGATTGCAACCCTCGGCGTTGCTCCCGCGCCTCGCTCAGCCAGTGAGCGGGAACAGGTCTGTATGTGGGATCCGAACCCTCGGGCGGGAGCGCCGCCGCGCTTCCCAAGCGGCGCACTTATCCAGTGCGCCACCCGGCCGGTCCCCTTTTTTTTTTTTTTTTTTTTTTTAAAGATGACCAGTAAGGGGATCTTAACCCTTGACTTGGTGTTGTCAGCACCACGCTCACCCAGTGAGCAAACCAGCCGTCCCTATATGGGATCCGAACCCATGGTCTTGGTGTTATCAGCACCACACTCTCCCAAGTGAGCCACGGGCCGGCCCCTTTTTAAAAAAAAATTTTAGCAGTTTCTTTTTTATTTATTTTTTATTTTATTTGTCTTTTTTCGTGACCGGTAAGGGGATCGCAACCCTTGGTGTGGTGTCACCCACACCGCGCTCAGCCAGGGAGAGCACCGGCCATTCCTATATAGGATCCGAACCCGCGGCAGGAGCGTCGCTGTGCTCCCAGCGCCGCACTCTCCCAAGTGCGCCACTGACTTGGCCCTGAATTTACATGTTAAACAGCACATCAGACATAGGAGAGAATTTATGAACTGGAAGATGAATCTGAAAAAATATACAGAATACAGCATAGAGAGACAAGGAGATGGAAAATATGACAGATAATAAGAATAAGAGGATAGAATGAGAAGATCCAAATATATATTTTCAGAGTCCCAGAACAAATGAATGGATGAGAGGCAATATTCAAAGAGATGGTAGCTGAGAACTTTCCAGACTGATGGAAAACATGAATATACAGATTCCAAAAGTAAAACATATCATAAGTAGAATTAAAATAAGAAAGAGGGAGGGTAGGAAGGAAAGAAAACGACTGTTGGATTTGTGATAGTGAAACTGCAGAACAGAGAACATCTTAAAATCAGCCAGAGGAAAAAAGATCACCTACAATGTTGGGAAACTGGAACCCTTATGCACCATTGGTAGAAATGTAAAATGATGCAGCCACTGTAGAAAACAATATCGCTATTCTCTAAAAAATTAAAAATAGAATTACTATATGGTCTAGCATTTCCACTTCTGGACATATACCCAAAAGAATTGAAAGCATAGTCTCAGATATTTGTACACCAAAGTTCATGGTAGCATTATTCACCAAAGTTAAAAAGTGGAAGCAACCCACGTGTCCATTGACAGATGAATATGATATAAACATACAATGGAATATTATTCAGCCTTAGAAAGGAAGGAAATTCTGACACATGCTACAACATGGATGAACCTTGAGGGCATTATGCTGAGTGAAATAAGCCAGTCACAGAAGGACAAATACTGTATGATTCTACTTATATGAGGTATCTACCTAGAGTAATCAAGTTCAGAGACACAGAAAGTAGAATGGTTGCTAGAGAGCTGGGGGGAGGGGAAAATGGGGAGTTAGTGTTTATCGAGTACAGAGTCTCAGTTCTGCAAGATGAAAAAAGTTGTGGAGGTGGACGTTGATGATGGTTGCACAACAGTATGAACACCACTGAACGGCACACTTAAAAATCGTTAAGATGGTAAATTATACCTGTATTTTACAATTTAAAGAAATTGGGACAAAGGATAGATCACATACAAAGGAATGACAAACTGATAGCTGACTTCTCTCTAGTAATACCAGAAGCCAGAAGAGAGTGAGAAAATGTCTTCAAAGTAATGAAAGAGAAGAACTGCCAGCCTAGAATAGTGTGCCCAGTATGTACCTTCCAAGAACAAGGATGAAATAAAGGTATCTTCAGAGTACAAGAAAAACTGAGAGTTTGCCACCAACACATCTATACAAAAGAAATGTCTAAAGGATGTGCTACAAAGAGGAAAATTACCCCCAGGAGGACAGACAATTTTAAGTAAATAAAATTGTTAACATGTACATAAATCTAAATAAACATTGTCCTCATAAAGTAATCATTTGTGGGATTAAAAAAATAGACAGGGCTGGCTGGTTAGCTCAGTTGGTTAGAGCTCAGCCTTATAACACCAAGGTCACGGGTTCGGATCCCTGTACTGGCCAGCTGCAAAAAAAAAAATAGACAAACCTAAAGTACTGAACAAAACTGTATATGTCAGCAGCATATGACACACTTAGTTGCTCCTTAAAACACTTTCTTGACTTCCAGGGCACCACACACTTGGCTTGGTTGGCTCTTCTTGTTCAGTGGTCTTTGCTCAATTATTGTCTTTATTTACCCATTTTTTTTCTTTTCTTTTTTTTTGGCAGCTGGCTGGTGCCAAACCACCTGAGCTAACTGTCCAGCCCCTCCCCAACATCTTTTAACAGTGGAATACCTCAGGCTCAGTCTTCGGCCCCTTCTCTTGTCTTTTACACCTACTCCGTGATGATCTTATTTATCAAGGCTATAGAACACCATGATCATCTCTGCCCGAACTGCTCCTGTGAGCCTCCAACTCATATATCAATTGCTACTCAGTGTCTCCACTAGGATGTCTTAACAGACATCTCAAATTTAACATGTCCAATCTGAGCTCTCAGTATTTATTCTCCAGACCTGCTCCTCTGTCATATCTTCCCCCACTCAGTAAATATCACCTCCATCATTCTGATTGCTCAGGCCAAAATCATCCTCTCGTTGGACAGTCATTCTATCAGCAAATCTTCTTGACTGTCTTCAAAAATACTTCTCAGCCACTGGGCATCACCTTTGCCACTGTCACCTCTCACCGTCATCTCTCACCTGGATTCTTGCATTTGCCTCATAACTGATTTTCCTGCTTCTGCCATTTCACCCATCTGGTCAGCTCCCTGTGCCACACCCAGAGTGGTACTGAGAATGATTTTCTTCATCTAAATTGAAGAAATTGATAACATATTTGTGGGTGCGTTTAGGCAGAATTCTAAAGATGGGCCCCAGGGTTTCTGATTATTCAGTCAAACACTGTTCTAGGTACCGCTGTGAAGGGATTTTGCAGATGGAGTAAAAGTCCCAAGGGAGTTGACCTTAAGACACAAAGAAAGTTTCTCTAGTTGGTAGTAGAAGAGGAAGCCAGAGAGATTCCAAGCATGAGAAGGGCTTGACACACATCACTGGTTTGAGATATAGGGGGCTGCATGAGAAGGAACGTGGGTGGCCTCAAAGAGAAGAGAGGAAATGAGGACCTCAGACCTACAGCTGCAAAGAACTGGATTCAGCCAACAACTCAAATGAGTTTTGAAGCAGAGTCTTTCCCAGAATGTCCAGATAAGAGCCCAGCCCAGCCAACAACTTGACTTCAGCCTTGGGAGACCCTCGTGAAATGATAGCTAAGAATTTTCCAGAACTGATGGAAGACATGAACAGACCAGTATCTGTAAGCAGAGGACCCTATAGTACTTGCCTGGACTTCTGGCCTATAAAACTGTGAGATAATAATGGGTGCTGTTTTAAGCACCTAAGTTTGTAGTAATCTGTTACATAGCAATAGAAACTAATACTGGTGCAGGGGCATCTTTACAAATCACATCTAAAGGCTGCAACAGAAAATGAGACATTTTCCACAGCCCAGTGCATCCGAAGTGTAGGTATGAGGAATCCATTTGGTCAGGCATCCAGCTTTTACAAGCTTTTACGTCCAGCAGTCTCCTCTGCTTAGTGTCTGAAGGACAGATGAAGCAAGTCTGAATTGAAAAAAAAGAAAGTCTCCATAATGGCCAGGTCTCTGTTTGAGTCAGGTATGCAGAACTATCTTACAAATCTACCAAACAATCACTGCCATTCCTCTGACCTACAATTATGAGTTAGGATTTCAAGTTGAGTAAAAATACAGAGCCCAAAAAAACCCATCTAGATGTGGACCCTTCTGTACAGTTCAAGCAGTTCTTTGGGAAGGTGGATGTGGAAACCTCTGAGGAAGGTAGCAAGCAATACCATCCCTCTCACTGATGTTCAGTGATTACTGTTAGCTTTCCTGTACCATTTTCTTTATCTTAAAAACTGTGATGTCTTTTTCTACATACCTAAAATTGATCGTCTTTGTAAGCACCAATGATCTTAACATGGTTCATGTTATGTTAAAGCTTGAGAAACACCTCATTAGGTAATTTCTTGTTTTCTTTTGCCAGACTGTTCCCAAACCCATTGCACTGGAGCCATGTTTTGGCAACAAAGCTGCTGTCCTTTCTGTGTTTGTGAGGCTCCCTCGAGGCCTAGATGGAATCCCTCCCCCTGGGCAGTCGGGTAAGTAGATGGGGTTGGTGACAAACATGTTTTAGATGTGGGAAGGAGCTAAGTACAGAGAACTGGATATAAAGGTGTGGCAAGGATTAGGTGAGATAATCCCATTGTTCCCAGCACTGTTTTCCTGAGGTCACCATTCCCTTCCCTGGGGAAGAGTGTGGGGCCTTTTTGTCTATATACCTTATTTGGGTTTTTGTTTGTTTTTTCACCATGGGAATGTAAAAGGAAATTTTAAAATTATCTTTAAAAACAAAATAAAAGCAAGCTGCTCCTTAACACACGTTCCCTCTGTGGGTTCTCCCAAGGTCTTGCTGTGGCCAGTGCCCTGGTAGACATTTCTCAGCAGATGCCAATAGTATACAAAGAGAAGTCAGGAGCTGTGAGGAACCGGAAGCAGCAGCCCCCTGCCCAGCCTGGAACCTGCATTTGAGGCTGGGCCCAGGGACTCTCCTGCGCGCATGCCCAAGTGTGTGGCACACCGGAGCCATCGGCAGGGGAGGGCCAGGCGGGGAAGTGACTGTGCAGTGCAGGCCGAAGACTGGAAACCCTCAAAGCATCTGACTCATCTGCATGATCACAAGCTTTTTTTGACGGTTTCTCCCATCCGTGTTCCAGCATCTAACCTTTGACTTTTGCATAGGAAATTGATTTAAAAACAGGTCCAGGGATGATCTGATTGTTGCTGGAGGAGACCGGTGTAGAGCCAGTGAGAACGCTAGGAATGACAGTCAGGTTCACGTGTGGAAACTGTTCTTGGGACTGTCTCAGCTGTGCAAAAAACAAATGATGGCGTGTTTACAGGTAGACATTTGTCATCAGGTGTTCTTGAACATGGTCTTTTAAAAACTAGTCAGATGAACTAACTTGTTTTCATCTGAAGCCTGTTATCTTTTTTTAAAGACGTGCTATTTATTCTTGCACAATTTAGGCATATATCTCTCTTCCAGGGAGTAGCTTTTTTCTAGTAGAGAATTAATAATGGTCCATCTCTTTTGAATCATATCAAACTAGGATAGAAGGGGGCTATTTTAAATGTCAAGGTCAGCAGTGTTACTTAGAATGTAAACTGATGTAATAGGTAGTTTTCTATAGCGACTTAATTTAGTCTTAATCCACTTGAAATTCTCTTTCTTCCTCCCTTTTTCTCTCCCTCCCTACCTCTCCCCTCCACACACACACACTAACACACACTAAGTGCCTAGACTTCAAATAGATCTAGCAATTGGAAAGTTAATAAGCCTGAGTTTTTACATAGTTGCATTCCTACATTCTTGTAAAATTTAAATAGCTACCATTGGCAATCTCATCTTTTTCTAAAATCTAATTTGCAGCCAGGAAAGAATTTTCTCACCCCAAGGAACATTTGATCTAGCAGCAGGGACTGAGAGGAAAGCAGAAATAAACTGTGAAAGCTTCTGTTTTTATTGTCTAAAAAGACACTGTCAAGAAGGCTCAGTCCCCAAGCGCCCTCCCACCCCATCACCCCCTGTCACTCTAGGCCTGATATTTGATTGGCCCTCTGGCCTCCTCCTGCCAGGGTACCACAGAGGGACTCACTCATGTCACATGTCTCCTTTGAGCAGAAAAGAGCATCAAGAGCACTTGGGATCCCTGAATCAGAGTGACTCTGTGTTCCTGTAGCCTGTTGTGAACTTGCGGGTTATTCTCTGTCTGGGGATGGAATCAGATGTCAGGAGAGGGACAGCCTCCTGTTATTGGGCAGAACCTGCTGAAAGCCTGGAGAAGGACCTGGAGCTGTTTGCTCCCTTTCCCCCAGGAGGGGCTCGGCCCACGCATCCTCCTTCCCAGACCCATTGGTGGCTACGAGGAGGGCAGTGAACACTAAGGGTGAAGGGCACATGGAAAAAATAGGCAAGGAAGGAAAACTACTAAATGGAAAATGACCAAATTTAAGAGGGGTGGAACGGTTCCCTGCTCTTATCCCACAGGGCACTGCCTGGATGTTATGTTTTCCCCATTTATGGTGCTCTGTATTGTGGCATTATGCAGCAGCCTCCCAAGGTCTCTCTTCTACTTCAAAGCCTGGGATTATATGGCATTACCCTATTGGGATGGACCTCTGGACAGCAGTTCTCAAGTTTATGAATTTGAAGAAATTAATACTAAAAGGAAAAACTGTGGCATTTCATCTTTGAATGCAGTGCCTGGAGAGGGAGCATTATCTCTTCCCCAACACAATAACCCCACTCCCATGAAGAACTGCCTGGAAAGATGTTTTCGAGGAAGCTGAATTATAAAACACTGATGCACAAGACACCTCTACTCGAGACTCACCTTTCAAAAAGCTTCTTTTTCACATCATTGTTAAAGAGCAGACACTTCTAGTAAAGACCCCAGAACGCAGCACCCACAGAGAGCCTTTAGTGGATGGGCTCTTCACCCCTGTAACTACTGTGAGGCCTCTGGACAAAGGAGGAGGGAGGCCATTGAGGACTGTCCTCCTACCAGGAAGATCTTCCTTGTTTGTTCAAGGGGCCAGGTTTTACTTGGCCAAAGAAGACTCTTCCCCTTGTTAGTCCCATGCCTTGAAATAACATGCACCATGACCCACAGCCACCTGGTTATGTCTTTTTGGTTTTTTCCTAAAAGATAATGTTTATTTTTTAAAAGAAAGGAAGGAGTAAGTGAAGTTTAATTCTGCTCCAACAATGGAGAAACAGCTGAATCCACCTGCTTCTCCTTTGCAGCCAACAGCAAATAGCTTCCTCCAGGCTCGAGGCAGAAGAAGGGGTGGCAAGGGAGGAAGAGGAGCTCAGCTTAGGTCCAGTCACTAAAAGGGAATGGGCCATCATAGGTCCAGTCACCAAAAGGGAATGGGCCATCATCTGGTAACTGTGTCACAGGAGAGCCTGTATATAAAATAATCATGGAAACATTGATCTTGCACTTGTACATAACTATACAGTAGTGTCCAGAATGTTCACACATTCGGAGTGTACATAAAACAGAAAAATATCTTAATGTATTTTTATCAAACATAACTATGTCTAAGTTTCACCTAATATGTTTTTGTGCCATATACTGAATATCTAAGTTCTGAGAAGTCCTCTCATCAGGCCCTGATATGTTAATAACAAAGCCTGGAAATACATCCCCATGGCGTTGATGTGTTCAGTGCATCTGGTACCAATTAGATAACTCTGAAACAGGACTCACCTATCAGAATGCAAATGAAAAGTCAGGCGGTGAATCTCTTTAAACAACAGTGTGTATAAGGAGATTCAAGGAAGCAGGAGTCTCTGCAAGCTTATCATGAATCTTTCCGGCAGTTTCTTGGTACTCTTGGTGGCAAAGGATGACCTCTCACATCCTGAGAAATGTTTTTCTTAGTCTTTGAGTTCAAAGACTATAGCCTGTGGAAATTAGACTTTCCAAAGAGGGGTTCTCCAGGCTGCATTTTGTCGTGATTTTCTCTCCATTTTGAATGACCATTTCCCAGGACTATAGTTTATTATCCTGAAAACTGGGGGTGGGAGTGGGGAGGCTAGTTTTTTGATAAATAGCTCCCATTTCCTCATGGAGAATTGCACACACCTTGGATTCCTGTCCACCTCCCCCGTCTCTCTCCACACAACTTGGGGAGAAGCCTGTGCTTTCCTCTGAGGATCACCGGTAAAGGTGGGAGGAGGTGAGAGAATGCAACGCATACTCCCCTGAGCTAACCCAGAGGCAAGGAAGTGCTGAACAGAAGGCTGTCAGCAGAAGAAAGTACTATATCTGTGGGTGAGATGCAAGATTAGAGACACACTAGGAAATCTGGGGTAAAAAATTGGTAGGAAAACAACATTTTACCTTCCAGTGCAAATCTTGCTCTTTCAGCTTAATGGAGTGTATTGGAGGTAGGGAGTGGAGGATTTACTTCCTTGGGTGCTGTCATTTTCATGAACCCCCTTGATCCATTCATTCAACAGATATTTACTAAACACTTACTAACTTAAGCCAGTGCTGTGGCAGTGACTCAGAAGTAAAAGCTGCTCTGTAGAAATAACAATAAAATCTAACTCCTCACACCCCTGCCATCAGATCTTTCCTCCTGCGGAACCAGAAGGTAGAGGCCTCCTGTCCTCAGGGTATGCCTTGGCTCCCGTCTGAAATGTTTATCCCATTGACCAAACTTGGCTCCAACCATAAAGAACACCATGATGGTTTCAAATAGCCAGGCCCACCAAAAGACATGGCCCTCGATGAGTCGAGTTGCTCAGATTCTCGAACACCCTTCCTGAAGGGAGATGCTTTGGAATGGAGACGAGAACTGGCGCCTTCTCTTTTCAGGCAATAATGGAATCAACTTTCAGTAACTGAACTTGTGCACAAAAATTCTAAACACTAGTGAAGCCTGTTTCGTTGAACTAATTCTGGCTCTGGAAATGTTTTCGTTTTATAGTTATTTACAGTTTTTTTTCTTGTTGTTTGTTTGGATTCAAGCTTAGTTTGTTAATATGTATAATTCAGCATCTCTTGCACTCATGTAAATATGGAGTAAGTATTGTAAACTATTCCATTGCTGGGGATTGTGGGTGTTATACATACATTTAGGACTGCAATTTTTTGGTATTTTTTGTATTGTAAAATAACAGCTAATTTAAGCAGGAACAGAGAATTAAGGGAGGTCTGTGCATTTTAAACACAAATGTGAAGAACTTGTATATAAACAAAAGTAAATACTATAATACAAACTTCCTTCTGAAATAAAAGTAGATCTGGTAAAAATGTGGTTTTTCTTCTGAGTATTTAATTTTGGTTTTGCTTTGCTTATATTTACATTTTGGTCATTAGAACCTTAAGGAAAGGGGGGAAAGTGTTTAAAATGTTTACTTGTTTTCAGACTGCCTGAGGGGAAGCACTTGGCAGTCATGCAGGTGGGGGTGTAAAGCCACCTGTGGGGGGACCTGTGACCCGATGACTTCCTGACATCCCCGCAGTAGCCTGTGTGTACCCACAGAGCAACTCTACCAGCACACAGGAACAAGTACTGTGGGGGGTGAGGATCAGGTCTGAGCAGTCAAGGTGTGAACCATTACCTGCCTTCTCCTCCTCCATTAACCAGGCTGCTGCCTCCAGTTGCTCCTTTAGCCCTCTGCTTCTCCATCTCCTCATGGGCTCCTGAACGTCTCTCTAGGTTCTCCAAACTGCTGAATCTCAGGAATTGTGACAGGTCTAGTCCCCCATGGCTACAGTGTTATCCTTGGTCTTGAATTCTTGATAAAGTTATTTCCATTCACAAAGCCCTGTTTGTGGGCTCTCTGCAGGCCCAGGCCCACGTTATCTGGCCCCTGCCTTCAGAATGGGGGTGAGAGGATTGTATTCCACACCCTGGTGCAGAGTGCAGATTCCCAGTGCTAGCACTTCCAGAAGAGACGTCATTGAAAGTAGAAGGAAACACAAAGAAGGGCAGTCACTCCTGTAGAGGAGGGTGATGTGGCACCAGGGGACTAGGGCCAGGGCCCGAGCAGGGGAGGGGTGGGAGCGCAGGGAGGCCTGCCCACCAGGCTTGAGTTGGACTGATCGCTGCAACCAAGTTAGGAAGGACCTTGAAACTCTTCCATGGAGGGCTGTGGGAGTCATCAACAGTTTCCGACAGGATAAAAACCTGTGATTTGGTGGCACTGTGACAGAGACAATGTGTATTCACCAAGCCTGCTATATTTTGCTGTCGGACCCACAGGTCAACATTCCCCAGCCCCCTTGCAGTGAGGTTGGGGCCAAACTGGGCCGTGGCCAATGAAACGTTGGAAGAAGTGATGTACACCAGTTCCAAACTTGGCATATAAACTGCTCCCACGTGGGACTCTCCCTGGAGGCCACATGTTAAAGGTGTTACAGGGAATGTGGGTCCCTGTGTAACCACTTGGAGGCACCACCTGATCAGCATGAGCTGTGTTAGTCTTTACATCACTGAAAAGCAAATTTTACTCCACTGATCCACTGGGATTTAGGGTTTTGTTACCACAGTCAGCTTTTCTTATTCTTACTAATACACAGATCGGTACCTTGAAACGCAATGTACCTGTAATCAAAGCCTAAAATACGTGGCATTTATTGGCTTAGTTTGTGGTCAGGTGGTGGCAGTGTGAAAACATACAGCAGGCTGGACAGCTGGAGGTCCTTGCCAGGTGGTGGCAAAACATCTGGGAAGGCTGTTATGTTCGGTTACTTGGAAAGCAAACTACGTGTCCACCTCATTTTCAGCTTGAGGGGAAGAAGTTGGAAAAAAACCAAAACTTTGTATGTGTTGATTTTTATTGGCTGCTTTTGGCAAGGCTTCACAAGAAAGAAGAGTTCAAGAAAGAATTAGCCAGTTTATGAGCAGAAGGGCAAGGGGGTGGAGAGACCTGAGATCCAGGGCCTTGCGATGTTGGAAACTGCCTCTAGTCTCCAAACAGTAACATGCTTGTGAGCAGCAGAGACCCAGTGAGACTCAGTGGGACACAGTGACTTGGCCTCGTGGTGAAAATCAGATGGAGGGTGTGGGCTTCCCACTTAAGCCTGGTAACATCAAGGCCACCATCTTGAGGAAGAGGCATGTGGATAAGGAAGCAAAGAAATAAAGCTGGCTGAGAACTGTGTCCAGGAAAGAGCCATGAGTGCAGTCACTGCCTGGAAAACAAGAGATAATAAAAGATATAGTCACTTCAAGAAACCATTAGCATGGCCTTAACAACAACCAAAAAAACAACCCTGTGACTACTGAGGAATCCTTAAAACACCCTCAGGCAAGAAGATAGTTGTGAGAGCTGTGTCCAGAGAGGGCTTACAACACAGTGGCACCTCAGATGTGGCCCAGAGAGCAGAACTGAGCTTGAGGACGGACTTCCCCCACCCAAGGGCAGGGCCTAGGAGGATCGCAGACGTGCTGTAGACCAGTGATTGCTGTGTGTGAGTGCCACCCTACTCCTTCCTGCACTAGAGGGTTTATGTGGGTGTCCTGTCTGGTCTCACCACTGCCTGTTGTGGGATGGGGTGGATAAGTTAAGTCCGAGTCGTAGGACTCCAAAGAACCACCTGAGGAAGACTGCATCACCTGGCAGTCTGTATGGGATGGGACCTTGTATTGTTCTCCTACAAGAGGGTGCCTGTGTCCCATGCGGGGAAGGAAGAACAAAATGGGTTACCATCACCAGAACAGCAAACTGCCAGAGACTGGCTGGATGCTTACCACACAGTATCCTCTTCCTGAGTCCACAGCTTCAAATGCATTGCCTGGGCCATGGCATCTGGGTGGAGCCATGCACCCAGTCCTCACCTGTGATTTGTCACTTCCTTGTTAGGGCAGTTAAGAGTGAGTGCGTCTCCTCCACTCTCTCCATGAACCTCGTAGGCTCATGTGGAAGATGGTTGTGCAACAGGACTGAAGGAGTCTGGGTCCCTGAATGACTTGTGGAAACAGAGCCTTAAAGACCAAAGTTAGTGACATTAGATATCTTTTCTTACCCTGCCTAAATGAGTTAATTAGCATTCACCTAGATTTATTCATCTAGTCATTCAACAAATTTATATTGAGCACAAACAGGGCTAGGCACTGTGCAGGGACCAGAGATTCTGCAGCAAACAAAACAAAAAAATTCCTGTCCTTGAGAAGTTTACAATCTAGTGGAGGAGACAATAAATAAAATAAAACTTATCACATGATAAGTTCCATGAAGAAAGGTAAAAGTAAGGTTAGGGGTAGGAAGTGCTGGGGGGGTTGCTACTTAAGGTAGTGTGGCTGGGGAAGGTCATTCTGACCAGGTGACAGCTGAGCAGAGCTGAATGAAGGAGGGAGGGGGAACTGAGGACGTCTGCAAGAAGAGCAGTGCAAACAGAGCAGCAGATGCAGAGGCCCTGCGGTGGCAGCACGCCCAGTGGGTCTGACAGTGGCAGTATGTGGGATGATTTTGATTATCCCATTGATGAGGGAGGTGCTGCTGTGATTTAGGGGTCGCCTGGAAGGTGGACATCCTTGTGATGTGCAAGACTAGAATTGACCCACATCCTACCCAGTTTTCAAACATATTGCTGGGTATGTGTGTAGATGAAAAAGTTTGTTTCTAATTATTTTAGTGTAGAACCTAATCCTGTTGTAAACACAAAGTATTTGAGAGCTGGTTTAATACAGTCAGTTTTCCAGAAATACAATTATGTAAACCAAGGGAAGACTGAAATTGCTTTCCTAAAAACTTTACCATAAGCTGGTCATCGTTGAAAATTCTGTCACCCATACCACATCATTTCCAGCATGAGTCCCCAACTCCACTGGATGGGCCACGTCTGTACAGACACACATCCTGCAGCCCTGCATTACTGTGTAACATGACTGGCAAGAATTTCCTTCCATCCTGTGCCCCCAGCACAAGAAAGGGATTAGACCAGATGATCCCAACGACCATATGAAGTGTGCTGGACAGGGTTGCATACCCTATAAGCCTTTCCTCCTCGTTTGCTTAATTTGTTTCCCTTGAGGGCTCAGTTTGAGAGTTTGTGTGTGTGTATTTTATTTTCTTGGGTGTGTACTCATCTTAATTTTTCTCTCTGTATCTTCTGCCTTGGGTCGGAGGCTCATTTGTGTGTGGAGTGATGTGTGCCTGGCAGAACAGCTTCCCAAGACATCCTTCAACCCAGGTCTTCCCAAGCCTGCAGCCCAGGAAGGCAGGGCCATGTCCTCACCTCCTTTCATAGGCATGCCAGGCTCACTGGCAAGTTGCTGTCCAGCTGGGAGACCGCTCTGAAGCCCTACACAGTTCTGTCTTCCTGGCCTTCTGAAAACTTCACCAGTCAGTGTCCACACTTTCTGCAAAAATGGGCTGGCTCTGTGAGCTTAGCCTGACCTGACTTACTTGGGGAGGGTGGGGAAGAGGGGTGGTCAGTGAGTGATTTCCACATTAACTCTGCACCTAGACACTGGGCTCCAAGCCAGGCGCCATTCATGAGCCGTGAAGTTTCCACCAATAAATCCACAGATATTTCTAACACCTGCCTTTCTGCTTCACCCTCACCCCCAGCCACCTGCTGGTTGGGGGTTCAATGTTGGCAACAGGTAACAGAGACCTATTCATGGGTATAGTCCAGGGCCAAGAGTGCATACATGTGAGTGACAGCTACCTAGTGGACACCGAGGCTGACATTAAGATGTGGAGGAAAAAGGCATAACCTGTTCCTGGTCATGGGGGCCCCAGCTGGACTCAGCCTCAGAGCGTGTGGCCAGACTTAACACCATGTATAGACCAGGACCTTTTTAGGAAGAAGTGACAGAAACAAACTCTAACAACCTTAGACAACACTATTAGTTCCCTGGAGCTGCCATAACAAATTGCCAGTATCCACAGGGGACCTGTTCCAGGACGCCCCCCTCAGATACCAAAATCCACAGATGCTCAAGTCCCTGATATAAAATGGCTTAGTACTTGTATATAACCTATGCATACTTCCCAATGTATTTTATATCTCTAGACTACTTATACCTCATACAAGTAATGCTATTTAAATAGTTGTTATACTGCATTTTAAATTTTGTATTCTTTATTGTACCGTTTTTTGTTTTTTCAAATACCGTATTTTCGATCTGTGGTTGGACAAATTCATAGATTGGAACCCACGGATACAGAGGGCTGACTATACCACAGTCTTCGTGGCTTAAAACAGCAGGAGCTTATTCCCACAGTTCTGGAGGCCAGCAGCCTGACACTGAGGTGCTGGCAGGGCTGCACTCCCTTCGCAGGCTCTGGGGGAAAATGTGTGCCTTGTCTGCTCTTTTGCTTCTATTTGGCTTGTGGCTGCATCACTCTAATCTCTGCCTCTGTCTCCATGCCACCTCTTCCTATTTGTCTGTGTCTAGTCTCTGTCCATCGTTCTTATAAGGATACGTGGGATTGCATTGAGGGCCCACTCAGATAATCCAGGATAAGCTCCTCCTCTTAAGATGCATAACTAAATGACATCTTTTGTCCTATAAGGCAATACTCCCTCTTTTGCCTTTGTATAAAGTAACATTTACAGGTTCCAGGGATTAGGACATGGACATATCTTTGGGACCACCAGCAGCCATGGAATAATGTTACTATTTTCAAATAGATTCTGTTTACTTAATCTTCCCAATCTTTCGGGAGGTACTTGCCTATATATTTTTTTATCTAGAATTCTATTGTTATTTGGAATCATTTCCACTTTTTTTAATGTCAATATTTTACTCTAATTATCTGAGTCAAAAACGGAGTAGAGTTTAACACACTCACATAAGGTAAATCATTTAGCAGACATTTAATTCTGAGTTTAGCTTACCATGTGATGGTGACCAGGGCAAGGCGATGCTTTCACTCCCCTGCCCCCATCCCCCAACCATCTCTACTCAACCCACTTTCAGGTGTCCATTGCTGTGCACGTGTAGGTCGTTGAGAATATTCCCTCTTCATGAGATAAGAAGGGCTTGGACTTAGCTTCACTTGACCCAACACTCCTTTTTCTTTGGAAAACCATTCCTCCCATTCTATGTGATCCTGGTGGGCTAATGTCAGGCCATAGTAAAGAGGCCCATAACCCACGCTGGGCCCATCAGGGTCCTGCCTGGGACAGTCCATGAATGCTGGGCAAGAGAGATGCCTTTCTCTCCTGAGATTGCTAAAAGGAGAGATTGTTAACCTGGAGCTGTTGGTGTCAGTCCTACCCACCCCTCGGTGAGAGCCTGCCTGGCTGTAGAGGAAAGCTGATATAGTTGGGATATGTTTGTCCCCCCAAAGCTCATTTTGAAAACTTATCCCCAATGTGGCAGTGCTAGGAGGTGTATGGGTCATAGGGGTGGATCCCTCATGAATAGATGAATGCCCTCCCTGGTGGGGGTAAGGTAGTGAGTGAGTTCTCACTCTATTGGTTCCCATGAGAGCTGGTTGTTTAAAGGACCCTGGCACCTCCCCTCCCTCTCTCTCTTGCTTCCTCTTGGCATGTGATCTTGCACCTGCTGGCTGCCCTGCCACTTTCTGCCATGAGTAGAAGCAGCTTGAGGCCTGTACCAGATAGCTGTCCCAGAATCATGAGCCAAATAAACCTCTTTTCTTTATAAATTACTCAGTTTGGGGTATTCTGTTATAGCAACACAAAAACGGGCACAGAAGCCACGCACAGATCAGCAGAGGCAACATCATCAGAACCCCTGGAAATAGCTGTGCCCGAGGCCCAGATTGCTCAGGTGCATGCTCAAGCCAGACTGATTTGTTTTGTTACAACCAGGAGAGTCCTGACTGAAGCTGGGAGGCTGGTTGGGGGGGGGGGTTTTCTAGAGAAGAGGGCCACTGTGAGTTGTGTTAGCAGCCACCACTGCCAGTGGCTGGGCCATGGGTGCCCTGGCCCAGAGAGGTCCCTGAGCAAGGCACCCACAGCCTCCACTTCAACCTGTCTCAAGGCTCCTGCCAAACCTCACTAAGCTTGAGAGGAAACAGCCCATAGACATGGTAACTTCACTCATCAGGAGTCTTCAAGCTCTTGAGGAAGAAGGAAGTATGCAGAAGTCTTTTTTTTTTTTTTCCCCCTTTTTGTCTTTTTTCGTGACCGGCAACGGATCGCAACCCTCAGTGTCGCGCTCGTACCGGACCGGGACCGGCAACGGGATCGCAACCCTCGGTGTTGCACCCGCACCTCGCTCAGCCAGTGAGCGGCCAGTCTGTATGTGGGATCCGAACCCTCGGCGGGAGCGCTGCCGCGCTCCCAAGCGGCGCACTGTAGCAGTGCGCCACCAGGCCGGCCCTGCAGAAGTCTTAATACCTGGACCCCATCCTTCTGCCCTCTCCTCCCCAACCTCCTTCACAGAACTGCAACTTAATAATGCCCTTGACACTCGCTGGGCCCACACTGGCTGGTGTCTCTCATCTGGCCATCTCACAGCTGCAAGGGAGGCTGGGAAATTTAGTGTCTTTACCTGAGGACTAGCAGAAAAGAAAAGAATAGATGAAAACAATGAAAGTCCCTACCACTAGGACCTAAGAGTTAATTCATTTCAGCATCCATAGATGAGAAGATGGAGCCCAGAGATGTTCCGAGGGCATCGGAGGTCACACAGGCCAGCAGGGGCACACCCTGTGGCAGAGCCTGGTCTCTGGGCTCTCCCAGGATACAGATCACATGAAAACAGGGTCAGTCTCAGTGCACATGGGTTTATTGAGCACTGTATGCCATTCTTAGTGCTGGGGTCAACCAGAGAGAAGATGGCCATATGGCCAGCACAATGCAGAGGCAGGGGGGGACTGGATTCTCACTTACTCCAGGTGCCCACCAGGCAGCAACCATGGATGAGAAGCACTCTGCCAACTTTAGACATGGGGTGCAGGTGGTACAATGGTGGGAAATGCCTAACTGGGAGAGTGGCCAGAAAGGCTGCACTGTTAGAGGCCGTCTTGCCTACAAGTCTGTTCAGATGCATTCCTTAGGCTGTCATCTGCTTGGGAGACTTATACAATTTCCTAGAATTCTGGAAGTTTGGATGGGGCCCCATGGGGCCTCAGCTACCATAGAAACCCTCTCCTGTCTCTACCTGATGGGAGACCCCAATTGTCTCAAGATCTGCAGAGAAAGGGACCTACAACCAAGCTGCCTACTGATAGAGAAACCAGAAGCTTTGCAGTCAGGTCCCCAACCCATATCCTTTAGGCCAGGGGACAGACACACAGGGTGTCCAGAAGCACTGGGTCCAGTTGGGGAGGTAAGCCAGTCCCTTTTCAGTAGCACGGAAGACCACAGATGTGGCCCTGTACACAGCTGGCTGTGTTGTCCGAAGTCTGCCGTCCTAATCAGAGCAGGGCCTGGAGAGCCAGGACAGGGAGTATGAAGAGCAGGGAGCTCCCCTCCAGGGACCCAACTGCAGAGGACACCTTGTGGGGCGGGAGCAGAGTGTGGCCTTGAGGAATCAGCCTGGCTCTGCTCTGCATGCACTCCCACCCCAGGACATGCATGCCTCCATTGAGGCCCACCTGGCATGAAAGGCTGTGGAAGGAGACAGTGTGGGAACTGCCAGCTCACCATCCCCTCCCTGCACCTACCTGCTCAGGGTTCCGGTGGAGGTCCAGCTGGTCCTGCAGGATTGGGGTCCACCCACTCTCAAAGGTCTTTATGGCACCATCTATGGAAGTAAGGGTCCAGGGCAGGCTTGGCTGGGAAACGCTAGCACAGGGCCTAGCTCCTTGGAGAAAAACTGGGAGACCCCCTCTGGTGTATGCAAGAATTGGCTCCTGGGATGGAAGGTGCATGGTGAGGACAACTGTGCTGAGTGCCTCATAAACTGTATGGTCTTCCATCCTCACAAGGGAAGGTGACAATTATCACCCCATTTTGCAGATGAACACAAAAAGGATAGAGTTAACTAACTCTCAGCTAGAAAGTGACAAAGTCAGCTTCAAACTCAGGCCCCCTAACTTCCAGATCACTGAGATATTCAGACCCCGAAAGGCAAGATCACCAGTGGGGGGAGTTGGGAGTGCCTCAAGGATGGAACCCTCTCAGGAGTGCAGAAAGCAGGAGTCTCACCCTATGCAATTCCAGGTCCTCGGAAACTTGTTTTAATTCTCGCACCCTCCTGCCCGCAAGGACACCAGCCTTGACACCCCTATGACTCTGCTTCTGGTCTGTGACCTGGTCTCCGGAGACAGCAGGGCGCCAATTCCCCCAGGGCAGGACAACAGCAGAGGGCGGAGTGTGCCTGTGTGGCTGCCGCAGCCTCAGTTTCCTCACCTCTAAAATGGTCTCCCGCCGGCCAGAAGACTTGGGAGAGGACAGTAAGCGCCGCCCCGACGCCCTCCCCGGGCCCCTCACCCAAGCAGCGGTTCCTTGTAAAGAGCCCCCGGAAGGCTTCACACTCCTCATGCCGGTTTCCGCTGGCTCTGCAGTCGCACCAGGGTGCCACGCGCGCGCTCGTGTTGTCCAAGTAGTTGGGGGTGACGGCGGTACCTGCGGAGACCCCAGCGGGGGGGGGGTCATCGGCCCACCCCGGGGGGGC